CCATTGAATGCACAACATTGCACACACTTTTCTGTAAATACTAGTGCATAGCTTTCAAGGTGCATATCCTAGGACCAAGCCCTACCTCTCTAGAGCCCAGTGGTAGAATGTTTTTTGACAGAACCCGTCTTCCGTCCCCAGACTCACACACATGTAGTAACAAGACGAATGCTATGTTATCTTGCTTTGTAGGCGAAAGTTCGATGTGTGCTTGCTGGCCCTCGCCTTAGTTAATGTGTTTACACGCTGTAATGACCGCAGAACAGGTTGGTTTCTGAGGCCCAGAATATTAGCAGATCTCTCACTAACTCACAGGTGTAATGAAAGCAAAATTAGAGACTTTCTGTCAAAATCATAGGAAGTTCTTTTTAATTAAAAATAGGAAAAGGTTCCTGCTTGCTGGGCTTTGTGTTCCAAGTGTGATCATGTAAAGCAAGGGTTTGCAGTACGTATTGAGTATCCTAATCTTTACTCCTTTGTTGTTTTTTATTCTAGGAAAAGCTCTGCCTACCACATCACATCCTAGAAGAAAAGGGCTTGGTAAAAGTGAGCATAACAGTTCAAGCATTGCTAGATGTAACCACAGTGAAACAAGCTTTATTCACATGAAACTACTTTCTCTGCTGTTACCAGCTCCACTGTGCCATGAAAGAATCAAAAAACTGCCCGTCTGTTCAAACTGCATTGAAAAAAACCCAGTACTCCAAGAGTATTCTTACACTTTTGATTTTAAAACCATGTTTCAGACTGTACGTATGTGTCAAACTACAGAGCAGAAACTAAACAGAATCATTTTCTAGAGGAAGTTGGCGCTTCACTGCTTTTACACGTCACTTTGTACAGTACTTACTAAAACAACCACTTCTGTGCCACTTAAAAATGTGTGGAGCACACAGCTGTCTTGCAGCAAGATACCTTCATATTATTAAACTAAGAATTGCTGTAATCATTTGGGGGGAGGGAGAAGGGAGAGTAAATCAGACTGCTACCACGGTAGGTATTTTGCAGTTGCGTCAGGCTATTGCCTTTTAAAAAAATCCAGACATAAAATATTTATATAAATATTATTTATTAGTGAGTTGTTATTCATCCTTTGGATGCAGAATGTAAATTAGGAAACTGTATTTTATTACTGCTTTTTTTGTGGTTAAACACTTTATTTTAATATAAATACTTAGTTATTTTTATTCTACTTGGTGTGCAGTAGCTCTAGATCTTCGTAAATTGTATTTTCTAACATGTAAGATAAAAAAAAGCAAACAAAATAGGTGCTTTTATTAAAAGAACAGCTAGCTGGAATGCAATTTTTTATTTCTTGAATCTGTAAAACTTTGGTAGAAAATTCCATTCTGCATTCCACTGAGTTTCCTACATTCCAGTAACACTTCTCCCCTCACTCCAATAAATCGGCTGAAACTGAGAGCACACCCATTTTATTTGTATATAGATGTTTAAAAGCAAAAAAAAAAAAAAGGAGATGTGTAAACTTGAACAATAAATGTGAACAAATATTTTTGATTGCTTATTTTACTATGCACAAGACATTTAACTTTTGCCACAACAAAATTAATGATGTGCATTAGGATCATGTGTCTTGAAATATAATTTTGCACTGTAACTCAATTTCTTTTAAAGACTACAGCACTACAGAATGAATACGAAAACATAGCACAAGACCATTAACTAGATTTACCAGGTAGCCAAAAAATTAATTTGTTTTCTTCAGTGATTCCTTCAAGAGGAGATAAAATGACTAAAATTGCCAAAGGCAGTCTCAAAGATGGGATCTTCCAGATCTAACCCGCTGCTGGGTACAGTGCTTCTCCTTAAGAGTCTCTGCAAAATTAAGCACAATGTTCTGTAGTGCATGTTTGCAGGATCAGACCTCTAATCCCGTGTCAGCAATACGAAATAAGGAAGATTCTTCTCCTTTTCACCACTTTATGTTTTTTGAAGAGATTTTTAAAAGCATAATTTATTACTAAGACATCACGCATTTTAGATCAAAAAGATCCAGCATAGCAATTCTCACAGTATCTGGAACATCCATTTTTCTTTCATACGAGAGGCCAGTGATGGGACTTGGGCAAGCAGGATGGGGAAGCTGCATGTGGTGAAAGGCGAGCTGGTGGGGGGCACACAAGCAGGTAGTTGGAAATGCAGAGTGGCAAAAAAAGAGGCAGTGTGGTGGGAGGGATTAAACATTTAAGCAAGAGCATGTGGAGAGAACTATCACGTAAAGACTTTTGGGAAGAATGATACACACTTGTCACTACCACATATCCAGGCAGTTTCACACCCATTCACAAAGGCTGCATTCAAACCCACCGCTGTTCCAATGGCAGATTTTTAATGGTTCACATGGTATTTGAATGCAGACCACGCGCTTTGATACCACAAATTGCTGCCATGCTGGTGTGTGGTGACAGCAATGTGTTAGGAGGAGGAAAGTGGGCTCGCAGACAATGAGACATCCAGTATGCATGGAATATCCAGTTACTTCAACCAAAGCAAAAGCGTTAATTTTATAGAGGGAACATTGACTTAAATTGTAATTTTGATTGGCAGCTAGCTTATTGTTTCCTTTAAAATGTACTGTGCACTTTAACACTAAATGAAAATGTATTTTAATATTTTACAGAGCTGCACAAATATCTGTTTTGTCAAAAGCTAAAGCAATGTAAAGAAAATTAAGTTTTCAAGTCAGAGTTTATCAAATTTTAAAAGCATTCAAGGATGGAGTATAAAAATAGGAATATTGATTTCTGCATCTTGAGGGATAAAATGCAGGTTTCCTGAGTATTTTTTTACAATGTATATATGTCAACATGAAGCTTTGTAAGTATTATTTTGACAAATCTTGTTTTTTCATAATTAAAATTTGGTTTTCTTCTGATTGTGTCTTTCAGTATTTGCTTGAAGTTGGCTGTAAATAAATAGCTCTAAATATTTTGTAATACAGCTTTTTTTATGCAGTCTTAACCTGTATGGCTAAAAAGAGAATCTTCATGAACCTTTGTACAATATTTATATGTGCAATAAAACATGCATGGCAAATCTATAATATCCTACGCAGTGAACATAATGTATATAGAAAATCTTTACTGTAGTTACAATTAAACTATATTATTTGCAGAAAGCCCTTAATGACTATCCCTGTGATTGATGGTTTCTTGTGAGAGGTGGTATTTGGAGAGCTTAACACTGGGAGTGATGGGCTTGGGGATGGAAAAGGTGATGATGTGATGCAAATAAAGGAATTTTGCAGCTAAACTGGGAATAGGATCCAGCTGGTAACTGTTATGTAACTGCAAATGTGGTTCCTGCACCTTTGTTGCTCCTGTTGTTAAAGTCTCCTGCCAGTCCTTCAGTGACAGTGAATTATCTGCCCTCTGCTTCCAGGGCTGGGTGGGCTCAGGGAGACTCCTCCTTCAGTTTGTTCCTGCTCACACTGATGTATTAGTCATTCATTTTACTGCTTCCACTTCTCTGCACAGGGCAGTTTTTTCTCCTCCTTCCCCTCCTCCTGAAATGCAGAGGTTATTCTGCAGACTTCTGCTTTAGCAAACAAAATCTGGCTTTATTCTGGCTAATTCCTTTATTCTACTGAATCCGAGTAATAATGCAGTAACACCTTCAGACCTGGGGATAACCCAACGCACCAGGGCTGTGCTGAGCTGCTTTGTGCTGCCCGTCTGCAGAAACAAGTAGGTATTACTGCTTGTAGGTAGGACACACACACAGCCTTCTCTTTCCCATGTGGGTTTCTGAAGTCTCCCAAGTACAGATTGTGCTAGATTCTCATTTTTCTAATGAAGTATCTTAACCAGGTGACTTCATGGCTGTATTTTTTCACATTTGGTAGTGGATTTGGGAAGGAGAGAATCTTTCTGCAATAGTGTCCTTTTGGAGAATTCTTGCAATGCGTACACTTGCATATTCCTAGCCTTCAGAGCTCACCTCACAAATAAGTAGATGCAACATTGATAAAAGTCATTACATAATTTAAGCCTGTCACCAGCAGAGAAATGTAAGTTCCCAGCATCAGACTCCCTGGAGCCCAGAATCTGGAAGGGGCCAGAGACAGAAGAGCATTCAGCACTGCTTAAAAAAGGCAACTGATCCTACATCTATCCTGCTATTTCCTCTGTCAAGAGTGAGTCAAGGTTTGAGCAATGATTCAGGTCCTACTGAACTATGAGAAAGCAGAGTTTACAAGGGATTACTTGAACATATGATAAACAGCTCACTGGAACAATCTGTGTTCTTGTCCAAGGTAGCTGGCAGAATTATACCACTGGGAACTATTTTAGATCTACAACTGTCAGGCCTACATTCTGCCATCTTTTGTACAATAAGCACACACACTTTCAACAATGAGATATGAGATCATCTAGACAGGAATTGCTTTTTTCAGATCTATTTAGTAGTTCCCTGTCAGTCCTGTTAAATCTAAGAAACACAGCATAAGCCTTTCCCACTCAGCAATAATCAAACAAATGGAGAAAATAACCCTCCTTTACTACAGACTGCTTCCTTCATGTGGTTTATAAGAGGTCTTTTCTTTTAAGTATCATCCATTAAATGCTCCACATCATCTGTTTGATGTCGTAATGCACGGGACAGTAAACCACTGTGCACAGAAAGCTTCTGTCTGTATTCTCCACCAGACTTTGTCCTTGGAATGTATTCAGACAGGCCAAGAAAAAATACACCTACCACTTCAGATTAATTAAGTAGCTTGATTAGTTGACTTCCTTCACCATTAAGGGATGAGGTGAACCCCAGTAATTAATTTGCTGAAGGGACACCCCTGTCTCTGCACAGTTGCACTAGAAACTGTCTTGAGGTCCCACCTACATACCCACACTCATAGCCTGAAACTGACTCATCTGCTGAATTACATTTTTACTCAGAATGCAACATGCACCTTCATGGTGTTCAGAGAGTTTTCCAAGCATGGAGGAACATTCCAAATACTTACTCTAAAGCACACACAACAAATTAAGGGGGACTTTTATTTTTCTTAGCAGTACAATCAGAAGAGTTCCATTTTACAAACATTACTTCAGCAAATGATTTTTGTTTAATTCATCTCTATCCCTTGATTCATGTTGGACAGGCAACACACATCCAAGTGGTTCAGGCATTGAGGTATTTTGCATGGTGTTTGATGTGATCATTAATAAATGTAGCAATGAAAAAATAGCTGTGATCATAACCCTAGAAAAGAACAACAATAAAGAAATCAGCAAACAACATAAGGTCTGTAATAAAGAAATCATGCTAAGCTCTCTTATAGAAAAGGTAATGACTCTCCTGGTTTGATCCATTTTAAGAAATACCTGGATTATATCTAAAAATGCTAAAGACTATCCAACAGGGTAGGTATATATGAACACTAGAAAGCTAAACAAACAAAGTACCTTAACCTGCCCAAATCTGGGCCACTAAGCTAGAGAGGGGAAACAGCAAGTGTCAGCTCCAGAATGAGATGCAATTGGAGAGAACAGTTCCCACTGTCCTACTGGCAAAACATAGGGCATATGGACAACACAGCCCAGGTCTGAATTACCTCCCCATCCATACTGCTAAAATGATGTCAACCTCTTAACCACTCCCCTTCATCAGCACTAACTCTAGGTGCAGGGTTTATGATAAATGAGAGAGGACAATCCCTCACTCTCCAGACCTGGGCCCCTCACTGGGTCTGGCTGGAAGTTGTCAGTGGCTCTCAGGACAGTGTTGTTTTGGGTCACTGCACTATAGGAAAAAGCAATCCTTCCACCCAGGTCCTTAAGTGATTCTAAGATTTTAAGCAATTCCACCCCTTTCCTGATTTACACAGACACATGCAAACTAAATCATCATGAAATTTTATGTTGAGCACAATACCCACAGCACAGAGAAGGGATCCAGCAAAAGGCCATCTGTCACTTTGCTTGTACAGTGACTGTGATACTTAGTAAAAATGACTAATGCTGTGTCTTCAGCCAAGCACTGGCAACTCGAGCCACCAGCAAGGGATCGGCCTGTACAAACTGGAATTGTGACGGCACCTAGTGGTGAAGTGCAACTGAATCAGGTGCATCCCTTGATGGCCGATACAACAGAAAGTGTCACTTCCCACCCTCTTCCTCACTTGGCCAGGGACAAGAGCGAGAGCATGTCCCGTTAACAAGACACTCTCTTCACTGCCTGCTGCATAGATCCAAAAATCACAAAGCAAGAACCCAACAATCGAGGGCTGCAGAAGCAACTTGCCTGCTGTAGTCTGAAGACCACTGGGATTTTTTGCTCTGTGCAGGCAGCGATGAACTTATCAGGCAGTAACTGGCCCGCAGATAGGAACTGGTCATCTTTGCCCTGATCAATCAAGATGTCAAGGCGAGGGCCTGAGTAGGCCTTCACAAGCTGTGTAGCATCATATGCCTGCAAAAATAAATGAGAAGCAACATCCAGTTACATATGTGCGGCTGGGTCCACTTTGCTGACTTCAAGAAAAGAATGGCACGGAGCGGGTACTGGGCAGCACTGATCAGGACACCAAGTTACACTTTGAAAGAGCAAAAAAACTACAGAAATTCCAAGCAATTGAAAATTAATACCCATGGTCTAAAAAGGGCAAATTGCATGATCTACCTAATTTCCAAGTTGGCAGTTTGACCGAACAGAATCCAGCCCAGGAGAATCAGAAAACAGCAGTATAATCAGTACTGATTCACACCCTTGTTCAGACACTAAATCCTGCTAAAGAAACTTGGTATCTTGATGTAACTACTTTGGCAGCACACATCATAACTTAAAGGCTCTAAACGTACATGTATCAAAATGTAATTGTGCATGGGGAATATGTTTCCTCTGGGGTCCTGTGCTTGGTACATGCTCGAAATAAAAAATTCCTTTAAAAAGACAGCAAAGTGTTTAAGGCTGTGGAGAAGACTGGTCACCAACAAACAGCAAAGCCAAAGTCCTGCACCAAGGCATCAGAGCCATCCTTCCAAGGTGCTTTTAGATCCAAAAATGACACTACAATGGAAATGGGAGCTTGGGCTCACCCAAGCATTGTGGCCATGGTATAAAATGATCCTGCACATATTTACATGGCAATCTTAAGCCAAAATACAGAAATCAGAGGTTGTATATCTGTGCCAAAGGCAGGTGTAAGTCTGTTCCTGATGACTGCTGTTGATCTAGTGGACTGGGTTTACAGAAGAACAAAGCAAGTTAAGGGGACAAAACCCAGGTTTTGTTTTGGGGGTTGATCTGTTTTGTTTTGTTTCACAACAAATACATTAAGTCTAATCAAGTCTAACTGGTGATTTCTAAGTATACAAGCTACTCTAACTTGCAGCTAGCACTCTCCTTTTCTGTAGTGTTTTAATCAGACCTGGATGTCTTCCTAGCAGGTACTTTAATCAAATTTCCAAGGAATTTAACTGCAGCTTGTGCTTATTTACAAGGAAATCTGAGTACCTAGTCATGATGATCCCTTCAACTTAGTTCTAGAAATACAGTGCAATGTTTAAGCTGAGATTAAGAACACTGAACAGCTGCCCAAATAATGCAGCAGCATGCAGATAAACATTTTTGTATCTCAGCCATTCATATATGACTACTTACATCTCAAAATTGAGGCCCGGGAGCTAAAACCTAACTTTGTCTAGTTTAATCCTGTTCTACAGGATATGAATTTCCAAGTATCCAATGGGTTCCTCTTCCAGCTGCCTCCCACAGGCTGCCCCTGAAGATGCCATGAGGCTCATCAGTCTCTGAACAGTTTGCAGCAGGCTCTTTTCAGGCTACTACAAAAATCAACTGATCATAAATCAACTGCTCACAATTCTTCTTAGCACAGATTTTTAAATTTTCATAAACCAGAGAGGAATGTAGTCAATTTGATGAGAGACCTCTATCTCATTACATTTTTATAAGCACCATCAGGCAACAGCAAGTCATACCCACCAGAAACAAACAATGCTTTTCCATGCTTAGGGGTGTAGCAAAACAACAGCACCAGCTCAGGGGAACCCCAGAGTTTCATTCCAGACTCCTGCTGCAATATATTTACAGATCACTCGTTCATGTGTTATCAAAGAACTGTGGTTGCAACACATACCTCCCATTTGCTTGTATCTGGTCCCAGATATCCACCAAAGGCTTTCTTCCCCCACTGACACTGAATTGGGTTGCAGATAGGAGCAAATGCTGATACAGACTGCTCAGAAAGAAAGCATGAAAAAAATACTATGTAACAATGAACTCCTGCAACTGAAACTGTTGATACATTTAATGCTGTAACAGAACTCAGAATTATGTTTTCTTCTGCCACATCTATAGAATCACAGAATCACAGAGTCAGCCAGGTTAGAAGGGACCTCCGAGATCATCAAGTCCAACCCTTGATCCACTATCACTGTGGTTACCAGACCATGGCACTAAGTGCCAAATCCAGTCTCATCTTAAAAACCTCCAGGGACGGAGAACCCACCACTTCCCTGGGCAGCCCATTCCAATGCCTGATTACCCTCTCTGTAAAGAATTTCTTCCTAATATCTAGCCTAAACCTCCTCTGGCACAGCTTAAGACCATGCCCTCTTGTATTGCTGACAGCTGCCTGGGAGAAGAGACCAAACCCTACCTGGCTACAACCTCCTTTCAGGTAGTTGTAGAGAGTGATGAGGTCTCCCTTGAGTCTCCTGTTCTCTAGGGAAATATCTATAAGCATTAGTATACCTTATATAACCTATACTGTATCTTACTTTGTACTTTCCAGGATTCTTCAGAGCAAGAATAAGAGCTCCATGACCTCCCATGGAATGGCCAAAAATAGACATCCGTTCAGAGTCAGTTGGAAAATTGGCATTTATTAGTTTAGGCAGCTGTAAAGGAAACAACAGTGTAATAAGAATGTTAAAGCAACTTGAGCGTGTTTAAGAAAAAATCACACAACGAATTAACTAACTAACCAATTAATTAACACATTTTAATGCCACGAAGCCACTGAAACCAAAGGCACATCTGTGTTCCAGCCTGACATTTGTGATCATGGCCTGAAAGCAACCTGAACACGACTGTAAAATCAAAAGGAAACAATTCAACCAATAATAAGTAACTCAAACTATCTCTATAGAAATCTATCATAACCTTGTAACACAAGATGTGGGAATTTCCTAAGAGAAATTTCTTGATAGAGACATAAATATGCATGTGCTCCTGTAAGTGACCAGAATGGCAAATTTTTCTTGGGATACTATTTTCCCCATATTCCCATTAACTCTGGCTTTATTGCAGACCACACGAAACACCTAAGAGTAAACTGGACACTCACCTTTCTAATATATATCTCAAGGATCTCCTTTCACACCCAGTTAAAGAACCACCTCCCCATCCCCCGCAAGACAGCAAAAACAGTGTGAACAGGCAATACAGGTGAAGTACTGGTGCAGTGAAATGCAGTGCGTTGTTTCACAAGCAGCAGAGCAGAGATTTTACAGGAGCAGAGAATGCACAGATAACAAACTAAGATCAGAAGCATAGGCCAACCCTGCAGCATCTCCAGTAGGAAAGCCGACTCAAGGAGTTCCTGCTCAAGCCCTGCCAGATGTTATCGTCTCCGTGCTGTGGTTCTCTCTCCTCAGTTCTATGACAATATCTGTTTGGTGGGGAAAGGCCTAACAACTGGATAAATCCAATCACTGAAACAATCAGGGATTCAAAAAGAAATAATACATTCTTTTTATAACAGAGAAAAGCAAGAAAATGACAAACCATCCACAGGCTATCAAAATCACCTTAAGCAAACTTTGGTGCTAGGAACAAAGAGTATGACTGAACCGTACCCCTTTACCTTACCCAGCATCAACAGGAGCAAAGTTACCTCATCTTTTATGTAGGAATACATCCTATAGTTTGTTTTCCAAGGATCTTCAGTGGCATCCACATAAAAACCAGCACCAGTGCCAAAATCCCAGCTTTCATCTTCTCCTTCAACATTGCAGCCACCTAGCATGAAAATTCTTTGTATAGTTACTGTCTTTACTACATGTTCAGAATTGGAGAAACTGCCATACAAATCAGAGACTTGGGACTCAAGTTTCCCAATCATCATATCTCTACCCCTCCAAATATAAAACAATTCAGATTTTCATTCATTAGTACAATGTTTTCAACAGTTATTTCAACAACACTTTCAAAATGTCAGTTACATAATACCTGCATATATATCAAACTTCTAAATAGTTTCAGTATCTCTTCATAACTAAATATAACATACAGATCTCTCCAAAATTACTTCTGTAAAACTTTGTCCAATTTACCTAGGGACTTAATCAAAAGTTGTTATTTGTTAATTGGCACTATCAGCTTATTTCAGTCTCTAGGCCTCATCCTATCAAGTATAAGAAACTACGTGAGAAACCGAAACTGAAGAAAATTTCCTTTCCCCCAGAACACGTACCACCAAATAGTGTGCCCAGGCCAATTTATGTGTTTCAAATAATGTTTGCTAACCTTCCTTTCTAAGATTCTAGAGAATAATAACACTTACTGTTCCTGTAATTCCTTAAGTCTATACCTCTACCTTTTCTGCAATTCATTTAATTGCTTCCACCTATATCTCTCCATGAAACTTAAGTAGCTTCTTCTCTGAATAACTGCAGGGTTGTAACCTCTTTTCCAAGGCTACGCTTTCAAACTAAATTTGCAGATGTGTCCTTGAAAGTAATACATCCCATCCAGTCCTCCCTTTGATTAGTCTGTGATTTACCAGCCTGGTTTGCAGAACAGAATGTAATATTTCAAGGTATATGTGGTAGGAAAATAATGGCCTCTCTTTCTCCAAAATGTTCCTAGTTTCTGCAATCCAAAATTACATGGGTTTTTACCACTGTCAGATTACACTGCAAACCCATGTGTAATTTGACAGTGCCTCATAATTTGTGTAAAGATACCTGCCACCCTGTCACAGTGTGAAATCAGATTTGCACAAGGATTCAAAGTTGACTCTGCTCCAGACTGACATGCCCTTGAATGCTGAGTGATTTCATAACTTAACAGTCCAACAGGACTCAGGGTGCTTACACAACATGTTGGATATAGAAAGTCTATCTTTGGTACCTCGGAGATAGACAAAAACTCAGCAAGTCCTGCCAGCCAATGAAGGCAACGCTCATTATGCTAAAAGAAACTTTCATGAAGCCTTGAAAAAATAGAAATTTGAAAAGAAATCTGCATAATACTGCTCAGCACACCTGCCTGGAAAAGCAAACCCCTTAAAAGAAGGAAAAGTAAAGTCTACCAAGGCCTCACAGAGGGTCTGTAATGACAGGTATTTAATGATTTCATGCAGTCTTTTTACCCACCAGGTACATTTCCTAGCTCCTGGAAGATAATTCTCATTTAGTCATAACTACACAGTTAAAAGGCATATGTAAGCATTTTCACTGCATGTGCTCAGATCTCTTAACTAATGATTATATTTTAATAGCTCTTCACTTGTTTCTCCAGACAGCTCAAAGAGATTTAAGAACATTTGGAGTCTCTGAGCTAAAATTTAAGAGTATAATATGAAACACATACTGAATTTCATCCAAATAGTGAAGCAATCCTTATCAGTTATTAGACTTAAAGGCACAAGAGAAGCTGCCAAAAAGGATTTTAAAAAAATGGACACAGCAATGAATATGCAAATGCAGTTACACATTGATGGAGACAACTTACACAGACAACATCAAAAACAAGTTCCAGTATAATCACTCAATGTCAATAAGGCAAAGGTTAGCTGCCCATCTCTAGCCTGCAGCAAATAGCAACAATGAAGTGTAAAGTTCATTCACACACAAGTTTTGCTCTTCTGTCTCTCTTCTTCACTAGAAACATGTATTTATGTTCTTTGACCTGACACAACTTCAAAACCTCAATGTGAAAAATATTTTATGGACAGAATATCACATCATTTCAATATTGCCTCTATTCAGATCTGACCCATTAAAGCTTGGGAAATAGTGGAAGACTGCCACCTTTGTATATAGCACCCATGAGAGTTTAGCAGAATCCAGCAAATACGAAACATACAAGACTGAATCCCCAAATGACTCTATTTCCAATAAGTGCTGATCCATGATTTTCAGGTTTCCCATACTCAGCCGTATACAAATAACAGCACAACATTTAAAAAGTCTGTTCATCAGTAGTCTATTGTAAGGGCAGGGGGGGAAGGGTTTCTGGTTTGCTTTTCCAAGTACTGGAATCCTCTAAAGACATGTGTTTAATCGGCTTTAGAAGACAGAATACAATAAAGAGCAAGCATTGCAGCTTTGTGTCACAACACAGTTCTGCAGGTTTTACAGAGTCTCAGCAAGTCACAAAGTGTCAGCAAGAATTCTAATAACACATGATTCTTGTTTCACTTTTCTTTCCTCTCCTCATTCGTGCTGATTTCAATGGCCTCTTTGTTCTAGTTTTAGTGCCACAACAGCAAGAGTTTCAGATGTCGAACCCTCACTACCACGTTATTAAGTACACACACAATATGATCTAGCGAACAATTCAAGATACAGAAGATGAGGTCATATTCTGACTCAGGTGGGCAACACACTTTGTAGCAAACTGCAGCACTCCATTAGCCAAAGATAGAGACAGTGCCCTTCTTTGTAACAATTCTTATGTCTCTTGCTAGAACTTACGTGGGCTTGTGTCTGGTGCAACCACAATAAGACCGTGTTCAGCTGCAGCTTGTTGAAAACCAGCTTTTGTTATAAAATTCTGTTCTGTGCAAGTTAACCCTAGAGAAATAAAAATATCACTGGTTACTCATCACTCACAGTACACCGGTTTCAAAACCCTTCTTGACAGAAAAGGTTTTGAAAAACAAGGGATTCCTATCTCCATAAACAGGGAAAAGTCTTTCCACTAGGTTCAACAATACTTAACAATCCACAGAAACAGACACAGTTGCATGTCAGGTCTAGTAACACTAACGTGATCAAAACCAGGTCAGTGTGTACTCCGTATCCCCCTGAGTCCCTACTCATATAGCTTAATAGTGCCCTCAACTACCATGAATTTAAATCCATTAACCACAGACACTGTTGCTAAGGTTGACATCCTTTACTTCTGACACCTAACCCTGCAACTATATTTTTCTGTCTACTGCCATCTCAGCTGTTTGCATCACAGAATTACACTTGTGGTCTGACAAAGTTCACATACTTTAGGCAGTATAAGGGCCTGTAAGCACTTTGCTCCAAACCCACAGCAATCCATGCCTTCTGTACTGCAGCAGGCCCAAATTAAGTCCAATTACAAATAAATAATACTCCACACGAATATTTTAATTTTTCTTCATTGTACAATTTGAGAGGGTTTAATGATTCTTGTTTTCTCTGAGGGCAAGTTGCAAATAACCTCATTTGATGGATATACTAGCCAAGACAGCATGGTTTACATTCAAAAAATAAATGTGCTGCATGGCTCAGAGGTCTTCAGATAATTTTGATGTTTCTAACATTAAGGATAAACATTTTTACGTAGTCTGCTGTCATTCTCCAAATCAGACCTACTAGCTATTTTGTGTAATGAATACATACAAGGAGCATATTATTCACACTAACAGTCAAGTCTCCTGCTTTCTAAACAGAAGTCTCAACAAAGCAACTCCTAAAATTACAGAACAGAGTTTGTGCTTTTCATCTTGAATAATAGGAAAAAAACCAATGATTTAATTAATTTATCCAAGAGCCTTCACCAACATAAATCTGACCATTTTGAAAGCCTTAACATTATTTATGCAATAAATAATGCCTTAACATTATTTATGCAGTTTTGGTGCAAGACCCAGCTCTATGGGAGATGGCAGAAATAGGATGGAGAAACAAAGCCAGGATAACTGGGAGCACATGTCTGTACACACAGACTCATCCCAGCTTGCCTTACATCCAGCAAGATAGCAGATGGATAGGAAGCTGCAGGAGCTGGAGACACGAAGAAATGATGCTGTGGATGGACAACTTCACTGCTCTTGCACAACCTTGTTCAGCCCCTGGCCCTTTCTGATCCTACACGTTTACCTTACTCTAGATGTACTTGCACTAAAGCAGCTAACAGCACCTCTCTCTTCAAGTTCACCAGCTGCTCCCTGCAAAACCGCACTCAGAATAAGATGGAGTCCACAGGACAAATGTGCTGGCTTCCATGGGCTGTATTTCACATCCCTACTCTGTTAGCTGAAGCAGTCTGTCATAAAAAAAGGGAAGCAGGAAGTGCCCCAGTGGGAAGGCCTTTCAGGAGAACCTTTAAATGTATAAGTTTTGGAACAAAAAGTATGAATATTTTAGAACACAAGGGCAGAATATTTTGAACACTGAGCATTTAGAACTGGTAGGCTACCCCAAGGCTGGCTGCATCCTAATGTATCACAGTATGCTCAAAGTAAATGCTTCTTCCAGAAGATGATCTTTTGTAGAATTCAAGAGCTGCCACTTTAGTACCTCTACATTAGGTTTTCAGTAACCGCAGCTCAGTAGTTTGAACATGTTTAAGATTATCTTTTTTAAATTACTAAAATTCACGTTACTTACCCGAGAGCCAATACAGCACAGGACACTTTCCAGTTTCCGCTTTTGGAGGCAAGTAGATTCCAAATTTCATTTTGCATTTTAGTTCTGCACTGTATTAATAAAAGACTCCTTGTTATCACCACTACTTGATTAACAAGATCACTATCATCAAAAAAAGAAAGGTAACTCAATGCATTTAATTCAAAGAGAGATTTTGTCAGTGAATTGTAACAGCTAAGGTAAATGAAGTTAAAAGCCATTTTTAAACTCAGCCTTAGACTCGAATTGGCAACAGCTGACTTTCCTACCTTGTTCTGAATATCCTTACAACAGAGGCTTACAAATAAGCCACATTTTCGCAGTGCTGCTAACTGGGAACAGTTTGAAAACTGAATTCTGAACCCCAGCAATATTTAACTTGAGCTTTGGCTATTAAATTGCAAAGTAATTTTTACTGAAGATCTACTGCATCTGTCTGCTCTTTTCCTGAGGGCATAGAAGTGAAATATCTAGTAGAGTGAATGGAACTTTGCACCCACAGTGATTCTCTGTGCCGCAAATAAGACAATCCAAAGTGATGGAGCTTCATTTTCAAAGGTAAAAATACTGGCTTCCTATCTCAGATCTGCAGCACTAAGTACACTAGATTATGTTAAACATTAACACAGAAATACAAGAACACAGCCAAAGCAGCAGAAGACATTATTTCTTACTGAAATACAGATATTAGTGGGAACATGCTATTTTCCTGCAGACTGAAAACACTCACAGCAATGAAAGTATATGTTTAGCCCCATGCTAAACATCTAGGCTGCTTTAGCAGTGTTTACCTGTCATGTTCAAACACCTTCTGGAAACCCTCAAAGCATTTGTTGCTGGAAACTTGTTTCAGAGCCATGATTTTAACTGCAAAAAAAGAGGAGTAAGTTAAATTTGAAAATAAAACATTCCTGGACTTACAGTGAGTTTTGAGAAAAGAAGAGTTGAGTACAACTTGAAATATCTTTGTTTAGTTTTATAGTTTTTCAGAATCTCCTGAAAACACTTTCTGATCTTTCATTAACTTTTTATTTCCCTACAGAAAAGGGAAAGGGGAGACTGAACTCTTGTGAGCAGGACAGGCAAAGCCTTCCTGATTTCCTATAGACCCACATCTTCAATCACCTTTACCTCTGCAGTAACTGTGGCTTGCTCTTTGTCTACCAACGCCGCTACCCAACAAGCAATCTCACGTGCTGTGGTTAACCTGCAGCTGCCTGTGACATGGGGCCAGGCTGCTACCTCCACAATGACTGTACAGGAGATAAACCTGTCCCACCTTTCACTCGGTGTGTGTGGTAGCATCCAGCCACTAATTACCACAATACTGAGGACTGTTCTCATCTTTGATGGAAATTAATTACCATGTTCTAACACTCTGTGGGATGGCAGAAACAGAGAAGCAGAAGGCTTATTCCTGCAGCAAGCAGTATGAAAAATACAAGCAAAGAAAGAGTAATGGGAGTTTTAGAATAGCTGGTAGTGCAAAAGTAGTAAATTTGCTAAGGAAATTCGGGAAGGCTGACAGAGAAGTGGACACTGTCAGTGTGCACAGGCAGTACGTCCAACCAGGCAGCTGAAAAGGGGACAGACCAAAAGGGTCACAGAATATACTGAGTTGGAAAGGGCCCACTAGGATCATCAAGTCCAACTCTTAGCAGGACAGCCCGAAGAATCCTACCGTGTACCTGAGAGCATTGTTCAAATGCATCCTGAACTCTGTCAGGCTTGGTGCTGTGACCACTGCCCTGGGGAGCCTGTTCCAGTGCCCAGCCACCCTCTGGGTGAAGAACCATTTTCCAATATCCAACCTAAACCTCCCCTTACACAACTTCAGGCCATTCCCTCGGGTCCTGTCACTGGTTGCCAGGGTCGGCATACAAGAAAATCCTGAGAAGAAACCAGGTAATATCACACCAGGTAACAAATGTCAAACCGAAAACGTTTCACTCCTAAGAGCTGTGCGCTTCTGTGGGGCACCGGCCAAGAAAAGACACTCACCACGGAGAGCCCTCAGGGGCTGATCGTTGTCTCCTACCACCCCGGTAGGAGGGGCCGCAGCCGAGGGGCGGGCACCAGGCAGTGCCTTACACCCATCCCACCGCAGCACCGAGCTAGAGGGGCTGAAGCAGTATCAAGGCCGCGGCTCGGCCGGGCTCGGCTCGGGACGCCCCTTTCCGTTTCCACATAGCCAGTCCTGCCCGCTGCCCCTAAGCGCTCTCCTGTGCCTCCATTTCCACCCTCCCGCCCTCGGAGACAGCGATCCCTCCCCCGCGGCCTCCTGCCGGCCGGGCCCGCACGGCCCTGCCGCTGCCGCCGCCCGCTCTCCCCACAGCGCGGCCCCGGCTCGGCCGCCCCGCGCTCCCCACCCCGCACCGCCCGGCCCGCGGCCCCTTCCCCGCTCCCTTACCGCGGCGGTGCGACGGGCCCGAGCGCTGGCGGTGCGGGGTGAGGGGCAGTCCCTGCGCGCAGGCGGCCTCCCGGCACCCCCGCCCCGGCCCGCCCCCGCCTCCCACCCGCCATGGTGCGGCGGCGGCGCGGCCGCTGGGGAGGGTAAGCTGGGTACCGAGCACCTCTGAGCCTCTGCGCTGCGGAGGTGGCCCTCGCGGCTCTGCAGGAGAATATATTGAGCAGTAAGAAAATTAAGAATTAAATAAAAAGTTAATCCAAAGAATCTGATAATAGTGGACTATTCGAAGCAGCAAGTGTTTCTGTTAGTGTCATTGTCCCTCTTCAAGGGTAGACAAAATGCCTGAGCTGGGACCGCTGCATCTGTACGTTCTAAATGTTTTACCTCCCCTCAGTATTTTAGAGGTCTTCATAGCAGCTGCCACCTGACAGACTGCTAATTTTATAATGGACTCAAATTCTAATTAGGTATTTTACACCTCACCTGCAAGATAGCAAAGTAAAGCAGACAATTGGTAGTGTTTCCATCTTATTCATAACCCAAATTATCTCACTTTCTGCTGTTAGAGGGTCTGGTCTCTCTTTTTTTTTTTTTTTAATTTCTTATTTATTTATTTATTTACTTATTTGCAGTTAAACATGCCTATCAGTTGTCAAAAATTGTCCTCAGCAAAGCTCTCTCCCTCTTTGTAGTCTTCTACCATGTATTGCACTGGCAGCAACTATTTTTGCCCATAACATTTTGCAGTCTTTACTTTGCCAATGTGACAGTAATTCCCTTTGTATTTTTGATCCCTTCTTCCAGCAAGGCACAGTACTGACAAGTTTGTACCCTGAGTACTTTGTATTCTTCCCTGGCAGATCTGTTTGGACTGCAGCTACTGGACCTTAGACCTGGGCCACACATCTTGCCTTCCAGAGCAGCTTAGCTATCTTGTCTCTCTACTTGGATGTAGTTGGTACAAATAGTCTGTCTCTGAGCTGTTTAAATTTCGTTTTCTCAGTTTTTCTTTGTCAAGATGGGGTTAAGTTGCCATTAATCAAATTAAATTGTGTTTCTTCTTGTATTTCTCTAGCACTCTTCAGGTTGTTGTCGATCTTGTCTATCTCGCATTGGCCTCTTTAGCCACCAGTGCACCTGTAGCAAATGTGGGTAGAGCCCTTCCCAAATCTTCATTCGCGAAGACTAGTCATGATGATGATGATATGATGTATGCCCAGCTTGCATAGAATAAACTCTTTACAAAGATGAAAGGATGTATTTTCTGCAATTTTGTGAGTAGAGAATTGAGGCAAAAGAGGGGACCCTTTGCTTTCTGTAGCTGTTTGCACTTGTGCAAAACACTAAAATTTTTAGTTGGTAATATAACTTTGCAAAGATATCAGTGACAGTGTACAGCAGATTAGATAATGAGTGACTCATTCAAGTTCACAGAGAAAGTTTTTTGGAAAGTCAGGAACTGAACCCAAGTCTCTTTGGCATGACCCAAAAATCAGCAATTAAAAAAAGGCATGACTGTGGCATAGGAAAAGGAACGACCATTCTCAACAGGTGTACTCTCAAGTAGATAACTCCGTGTATGTGATTATGGATGGGGTATAAATATTAAACAAATTCTTCTTCTATGAGTGCAGTTCTTAATGAAGGAGTATGTGTTTACTTTGAACATTCCCTGCAGTACATTAAACTCCCTTCAGTTTCTGGAACTGATGATTAGATTTTGTCTTGCAGCTAAAAGGAGGTGAAATGAAAAAATACCCAGCAAGACAGAGTTATAAAATCATTTTGATTTTAGTGATCTGGGATGTTGTTAATAGCACACAAGGATGGAAGACAGATGAGTTTTGTGTTGATAGGTTTCCTTTGAAAAGCTATTAGTTGGAAAAACAAATTGTCAAGCAGGTCATATCTACAGTTACAAAACATATTTTGACATTTTTCTTACAGTTGTATGTATCTATAAATAAATACAGTTTATATTATCTTTGCGCTGCATATTCCTAGTGCTGTATATGTCGCTGCGAGATAGACCTCTTTAGCCACCAGTGCACTTGTAGCAAATGTGGGTAGAGTCCTTCCCAATCTTCATTCGCGAAACCTAGCCATGATGATCTTCAGGTTGTTCCTTCCGTCTCTTTCTGTGTGCATTCTGTAGCTCTCTTAATGCCCTACTCTCTCTAGCAAGATATTGCCCAGTTAGTTATTTGAGCTAAACTTTAGCCAGTTTGTTTTCTCTCTTGGATATGTAGACAGCTCTCATTAAGCACGTCTCCTTTTCCATGGTATCTGCAATTGTTTCTAGCTATTTATTTCTCTCTTGTCAGTATAAAAATTGACTAACTCAGGCAGTGATACTGATAAGATTTCTATGTGTCCTTGGTCTTCCTACCCAAGTCCCTTAGATAGGCTCTGTCCTATTTGCTCTCATTTCAGTGACATATTCAGAAGGATACAAATGGCAGCCTGCTGATGAGTTTGCCTGGCCTCCCCACGTCTCCATAGCAGACATTATTTTTTTATTTCTTTTCAATCAAAAATGAGTGAAAGTAAATGCATAGGTATGTAATGTGAGAGCTGTGTCACAGCCCTCCAGAGAGCTGTTTTCATGGCACAGAGCTGACGCACCATGGTAATGTCAAGAACAGTGTAAGGCAGAGGGAGCCAGGCTGGTACAATCTCTTCTGTGCTGTGGTTAGATCTGTCTAGTATCTTTGGTTATGTGCATTTGTTTAATATTAATGCCACTTCTGTATCCTTTGAGACAGTGTCTGCAGCTCTCACCTGTGAATTCATTTTGTTAGCATTCTGCCTATCATTTTGGATTCTCTAAAAGATACGAGATGTGAAACAGGCTTCTTTTCTTTCATCATTAAATGGCTTCTCATATGGTACAGCAAGGCAACCAGTAGAAATAAGGATATTAAAAGAAAGATATAGACTCACTTTGGAAAATCTTTTGGCTTATGGATTCTTGCTTTACGTATTACATTATTGTTGTATACAACACATACTGGTCCAACATACTTTCTGTGAGGTCCTCCTACACAGCCAGTGTTTTCTAGCATTTTTAGTGCTTTCTAATATTTTACCACTGATCTAATCCAGTGATATGATTTCACATCATCTACCTAGAATTTCTGTTGGCACTAGTAAGAAAGTCTTTGTTTTCTGTCAGAAGGACTTCTGCCTTTTCACCATCCTTTCTGTACTTGGGGAAACATACTTTTAGGTTCAACCCACTCAAACACATTTGCTGTAAAGCTTCCAGCAAGAAACTTTCACATTGTAGGCAAGCAACCTGTATGTCTTAAGCTCATAGCACCAAATTCTTCCTTTCCCATTTTCTTTTCAGAAAGTACAGTCCTTCCCTCAGCATCTGGGTACACACTTTTCCAATGTTTTTGTTTTGATAGTCTGAATTAAGGATGGTAGTTACTTGACGTGACGAGGGAAGGCACGAGACGCTCAATGTGAGAATCAACGAACTTCATTTATTACAGATTGACAACAGCTTAATATACACTCCATAATGGGTTCATACATATTGCAGGGACTAAGCTCATTATTGGTACTTACTTAAGTGGTGATATCATCTCTACTCCCTTCCATTGTTTACACAGGTGGCTCTTCAGTTGCCTTTGTTTTGCTAATGCCAACCTCCTGTTTATCAGCCAGTTTTAGCACATCAGAGACACTGTTGCTTTCCCATGGCCTTGCCGTCTCAGAGGTTCACACAAGCTAATTCCTTACAGTTACTAACTTCCTCCTGCCAGTGCTTTTCAGTACTTTTTTCTCAACTTTTTATATGTGATCTCATTTTCACTTTGGTTATTCAGAGTGCTGAATTCACACTTCACAGTCCACTTTGCCAGGATATTATTTGTATGTTGTTTTTTTCTGTAAAGAACTTTTCCAGTGTTCTTGATAGCAATTGTTCATAATTTAGCCATTTATGATTTCAATGTGATATTTGCAAAAATTCTTAAGTTGTCTTATTAGCTCAGTTGGTTAAAACTTGGTGCTAATTACAGCAAGATTACAGTTTCGATCCCCTGTATGGGCCATTCATTTAAGAGTTGGACTCAGTGATCCTTGTGGGTCCTTTCCAACTCAGAATATTCTGTGATTCTGTAAATCTATGCTTTATACCATGCTATTGGTCATTTCCAAGCAACATATATGGGTGGTAACAGTATAATCTCTCAGTATTTTTTCAGGTGACTGTATTGACAAAACCTATTTTAAGTCTTTAGCTTTTCAAGGGAGAAACTCTGCACAGGGAAGAGAATTTTCTGCCACTTCATTGTTATTGATTATTTTTTCTGTTTCCTTTTCTTTACCACATCCATCTATCTTACCTTTTGTCTTAGATAGAAGATAGATCTTCTGAAGTTTCTTTTCTTTTTTCCCATACCATCAGGATTTCACCTGGATGCAACTTGTCATGTCATTAACTGCTGTCCCTTCAAGACAGTTCTTTATTTTTTCTTCAGCTTGCCCAACGTGCTTCTTATTCAACAAAACCCAAAGCAGAGGATAGAATCTACACACACTCACTTACTTTATCCACAAACATTGAGGTCTTTTTCTCTTTTGCTCCATTTCTGGATTTCATTACTTCTTTTTTGTTCATTAGAGACTTCTCATTTGAGTCCATAGGTCTTTTTGGGAAACAGTATTGTCCTTTGGTCTTGCTTGCACTGTAATGCAAGTTACATAGCTCCCCTGACTTCTCTTTAATTTGGCCATATCTTGTATTGGTGTTTCTGCAGCACTGCACTGGTGATCTGGAATGGCCTCGATAACTCTGAGCAGCTATGAGGTTGAGCATGTTCATGAACCCTCTTTGCAGAGAGACTGTGGGAAATATATATGCACAGAAAATTTGCAGTTGCAGAAACAAGTAATTTGTGAGAAGAAATTTTTTTAAAAATTATTTGTTCTTAGAGCAGTTAAAGTACTAAAATCTTTTCGGGGGGGAGGTGGGTGGTGGAAAACAAGCATGCTTCTTTTATTACAGTAATGCAAGAAATATTAGTAATACTTACTTATTACAACTAATACTAAATCCAGCGAGGAATATGCATCTGATAATTCTGTCAGAAAGTTTTTTTTCTTTTAATGCTTTATAATTAAAAATCAAACAGTCTTGCTTTTTTATAGTAAATTAACTGCATGTATTTGTACTGTTTCTTGTTTTCTATTTTTTTTCTAGTAGAGATTAATTTTGAACTTCTGAAGAGTCTGCTTGTTTGAGAAATATTTCCACATACAGTTTTAAATATCTCATGCATTTACGGAGCCTTTAAAACTGTTATTTTGAATTGAGATATTCAAGTAAAATTTGAGGTGTAATTGCAGCTAAATAAAGATATTGGCTAACAGGAATATAATAGTTAATATCTGACTTAGCAAATGCCAAAGGACAAATTTAAATTCAACTTCAGCCAATAAATAATTTAGTAGAACATTAGGGCTCATCTTACTAATAGGAGCTACAAGGAGAGGTGGAGGCATAAATGCCATTTTTTTAGGCTTGCCGTTGTCTTTCCAAGAAGATATGCTTTTCTTTAGGTCTTAGGGAACAAATTAAGATGACCAACACCAGCTGGCATTCCTAGGATTTCTTGATCCTTACATGAGCCTTGAATTAATACAACTACAGTAGACTTTCTTTCTTGGTCTTGGGGTACATTCAGGCCACAGATTTGAAGAGAATTAGCAAAAAACTTGATTGATCTGAATTTAAAAAAATATAACTCTCTTCTGAATGTCCTCATTTAATTTGATTCAGGCTGAGTAACTGAAATTTCAGAAAAGAATAAGCCTTGAAGGGAACAAGTTTTCAGTCAGTAATACATGGGATTATTTAGTTATAACTGGTGTCAAAAAATGGGAAAAAAAATGGAGTCACAGCCTTGAACTTCAGGAGAGAAAACAGGGGTTATTGGCCAGGTTCAGTGGGAGTCTGCCCTGGCAGGCAAAGGAGAACCCAGGGGAGTTTGTTCATCTTCAAGGACAACCTCCTCCAAGCACAGAGTGAGTGCATTCCCTAGGCAGAATGCTGAGCACAGGTCAGCAGGGATGAAGAAAAGGCTCCTGACTGTGCCGACTGCAAAAAAGAAGCCTACAGAAAGTGGAAGTAGGAATGGACTACTTGGGGAGAATATAGAAATATCTCTAAAACATGCGAGGATGGAGTTAGGAAAGCCAAAGGTCAGTTGGGAGAGAAACTAGAAGTGAAGGGCAATAAGAAGTTTCTTCATGTACATTGACAGCAAAATGAAGGTTAAAGAGAATGTGGGCCCACTGCTCAGTGAAACAGGGGAGCTACTGTGAGAGACCATGGAAAAGAATGAGGTAGACAGTGGTGCTTTTTTGCCCCAGTTCTCACCAATGAATTTGTCCCTTCAGGTGAGTATTATCCAGAACAGGGCATGTAGGAAGATCAAGCAAACTAAGGGCAGGTCAGCCTTACAACCATCCACAGAAAAGTAATGAAACAGATCCTTCTGGAAGCCATTTCCAAGTATAAAAAAAAACAAGAAGGTGATTTGAGATAGACAACATGGGTTTACCAAGGGCACAGCACACCTGACCAGTCTAATTGCCTTCTGATGAGAATTCCATCTCAGTGGACAAAGCAGGAGCAGTAGAAGTTGTATACTTTAGCAAGGGGTTTGAAAGAACTTCTAATAGTCCCCTTGTCTCCTTTTAACAAGATTGGAGAAATATGAGCTCGATTAGTGGATAATAAGGTGGGTGGAAAATAGGCTGGATTGATGGGCTCAGAGAGTATTGATCAGCAGTACAGAGTCCGGCTGACAGAGTGACACCCCTGAGTGATCGATATGAAGGACAAGACTGTTTAGTGTCCTTATGAATGACCTGGATGATGAGATGGAGTACATCTGATTTATGTAGCTAAGAAAAGAACCAGTTTATTGCACTCCTTGCAGTAACAGAAATAAAGAGAGAAGGATAATAGAACTTTTCGAAGAGACTTCAGTTCAAAAACATAATTTGGAGTTTAGGAAAAAATCCAACTTGCAGTAAGGAAAGGAAAAGTTATTCAGCACTGTTGATAAGTCATTGAAAAAAAAAGGAAAGAGATTATTTCCATTGACAGTGACCAGGTCCACAATGCAAAGCACTGCACAAAAACCTGTTGAAGCAAACCTTCTGACTTGAAGGGTTCACTGTCTACAAGACAAAAGGGGGAAAAAAGTATTTTCAACACTTCACATGTGAAGAACAGAGATGCAGATTTCCAGAGTGCAGCCATGATGAGTATTGCTCATGTGGAAACTTCATCTATTACTTTATGCACAGTTATATGCAGCAATTCCAAATACTTTGGTGGAGTAACTGTTGACTAGTCTGCCTCTAAATTATGAGATTTCCCACCTTTGTTTCACCCTGAATGGTTCCATCTCTTTCACAAGCCAATTTCTAAAGTAGGTAACCTGCCTCGGATTAACTTTCAGGCTCCTGTGTGCTGCTTCCCAAATGATTACCTTTTTTTTTCTCAAAGGAAGTGTCAAAGAGGAATTTTGGGATAATGTGGCTTTCTTTGGGTCATTCAGGGTCTCAAAACTGCTGTAATTCATCTCAGAAAGTGTCTTTATAAACCACTTGTGTTCCATATTTTTGCTGGTTCTACAAAGCTAAAGTAAGTAAACCTGACTCATTTAAAACACATAAATCTTAATTGCAATAACTGTGCATTGCTAGGAATTTTTTTTCATGTGTCAATAAGAACTGCAGATTCCCAGATGTCCTCTGAAAATCTCTATTTCCCAAGCATTGCAAAGTAGAGGCTTTACTCATGTCTTTTAAGTCCTGGGTTCTGCTCCTAACTCACTGAGTGGCTTCTTTTGCCAATTTTATCTCACTATATGCCTCAGTTGCCCATCAGCAAATAAGTCCCAGCAGTAGTTGTCTTTTCCTGAAAAAAATTGTAAGAATAAATAAATATGAATGAAGTCTGACAGTGACTGTAGTAATCTGTTTAACATGTTTCTCTTTCGCCCTTCTTTTTTCCTCAGATGTAGGTCTCTAAGGTGAAACCTCACTTAAAATGTTACAGTATGCTCCTCTTTTATCAGCTGCCAGCTTTTTGGGCAGATTAGAAGATGGCAGAGTTCAGTCTTTTCACCGTCTCCCAAATGGTTGTTGTTTAAAAGCTCCATTCAGCAAAGAATCTTTCAAGGACCCCAAATGTGACTGTTAATAGTCGCTGTACAGTGGGAAATTTATTCCCTATACCACATCTCCATGCTTAGCCTTAGTCTCATCATCCCCAAGTATTTAGTTCTGAAAAGCACTGTTATGTGGCTACATTATAGCTGCTGTTAATTGTGAATGGAGCTATTTTATACTCATGGGATTTCAAGATGAACTTCAGCAGGCAATTTCAAAGGGTGATTCTTTCCACTTCTCTGAAATATTAGTTTTAGGCTGTCTCTCTATTGCCTTTAGGTGCTGGGTCAACTGGCTTAGGTCTGGACACTTAATGGGGAGACCCCAGCAATCCCAATCTAAATGACTCCATGAAAAAATAAGTTTTTCAACTTGCACACTTTCCACTTTTTCTGAAAAGAGATGTGAATCATCCAAACATCTTTGTCATTTCAAATTATTCAGCAGCAGAGGCCTTACAAAACAAGCACGTTGTAAATTTGATTGGAAACTCAGCAACCATCATTTTAATTACTGTTTTCTTTGCTTCCACTTCCTACAGCAGTTGTATTATTGCAGGAACATAATTTTTATTATTGGGTTCCTGAGAGCAGTGAATAAGTGTTTAAGGACTTTGAGACTTGCAATCTTTTCTACTGCTACAGAACACTTAGGAAGAATAACAGTGAACTCACAAAATGCTAATATTTGTATTGCCAGTGAATTGTGACCTAAGAATTTGCAATTAAACTCCTTGAGATTTTTTTATGTCAATTGCAAATGCACTTGCAGAAGTATATATGGAAGAGTAGGAACAGAAAAATGGGGAATTACTTAATTAAATTCACATACAGATCACTTTTTCATTTGAAATCTAATAGAAGAGCAAGAGTAGTGGGGCAGAACAAAGGTCCATGCAACCCAACACCTCATTTTGAAAACGAACTGCAGCACAAACTGGTAGAAGGAAGAGCACAAGCATTTGGCAAGTAGCTCCCACTAACATCTAGCAGTCTGAGATCCCTTCAGTTCTCTGATTAGAAATGTCTATCACCTCTGTGTTAAAGAGCTCTCAATGGCTTCATGAATTGGCCCAATTTTTTAAGAGTCCTAATCTATTCAGATATTTACCAATATAATTGATTATCCTCGTTGCCCTTCTATGTACCCTTTACAGTTATCTGCAGACTTTTCTAACTATTGCTGATCATTTTTTTCCACAGTACCATTATACAAAAGTCTTGTTCCCATGTAATAATGGTCAGCTTAGAGCATATTATTCGATATGAAAAGCTAGAGCTGATTTTTTCCAAAAAAAAAAAGCATCATCTAACTTTTCCTACTTTGAATTTCACCTGCCATTTTCAGAGCCATCACAGAGTATTACATGGTCTTTGCAATCAGTTCTCCACTATGTACACTGTCACTTTTGATATTTTTTTTCTGGAGGTCCCTGTAAGACTCACTGGTGTTCTA